GAGGAAGGAGAGCTACGCTATCTACATCTACAAGGTGTTGAAACAAGTACATCCCGACACCGGTATCTCGAGCAAGGCGATGTCCATCATGAACAGTTTCGTGAACGACATCTTCGAACGTATCGCCGCCGAAGCTTCCCGCCTCGCCCACTACAACAAACGTTCGACCATCACCAGCAGGGAGATTCAGACCGCCGTACGTCTCCTCTTGCCCGGTGAATTGGCCAAGCACGCCGTCTCCGAAGGTACCAAAGCCGTCACCAAGTACACCAGCTCCAAGTAGAATGATTTTGTTATCATTTCTGTCGTCGTCCGTCGTCCATCTTTCCGGAAAAAAAAAAAAAAAAACAACAACAACAAACAAATCGGTTCTTTTCAGAACCACAAATCGCATTCCTTACAAATAAGAGATTAACGAACCTCGAGAATGTTTCTTTCCCCTTTATTATTATTCGATTATTAAATGAACGAATAAAATGATACTTTTCGTTTCGGGGTGTGCGATGTTTAAATTCCGTCCGCGTCGTACGTACGTACGATCGATTTCGGTTAGAGGTTTTCGAAATGAAACTATGTTAAAAAACAGCGATATATTTTTATCGATCGATTTTTATACGATATGTAAATAAGTCAGGTCACGGGAACGTACTTGTTTTTTTTTTTTCTTTCTTTTTTTTTCCCCCGCCGCAAGAAGGAATTTATATTATTTATTTCTTCATAACGAAGCGCTGTGCTCTCTACGATCGATTTTATCAGGAAATCATAAGATCGAGAAGAAAACGGTCGCGTTTTTTATTATTATTTTAATACCAGAATTACGAAACTGATGCAAATCTATACTGGCCGTCTGTTCGAGGAACTCGCGTACAATAAATAACGCATGTTCCTAACAAAACGGCTGTTTTTTTGCATTTTCACGATCGAGCGTGAATAAATTTCAAATTAAAAGATCAAGCGTCGATTCGTTTCTTTTCGAGTCTTCCTGAATGATTCTGATCTCGTTGTCCATGTACGGCGTTCGTTTATAAGTTCTCGTCGTGCTTTAATTTTATTTTATCGTCACAGACATAAATACATTTATTTTAAACGTAGTAGAGTGTCGTTCCGCGACACCTCGATCTGATCTGGACTTGTAAATTTTTTTTTGGACTTAAAAAAAAAAAAAAAAAAAAAAAAAAGAATAAGGGGGGTGTTCGCGATAGGGCAAAACAAAAACAAAAAATCTGGCGGGAGCGGAATGTTTGAAAATTTCGAGTCGAAGGACGCGAGTGGAAAATCTTAGCGACTAACTTAAATTCTAAATTAAAAACTAGCTTAACTTATGACACACTTATAATAAACACATCGTTTTTTTTTACTAAAAACTAAAGTTTAACAAAAAGAAGAAGACAACGGCACGCGGTGTTCCCAAGCGGTCACCCATCCAAGTACTGACCGCGCCCGACGTTGCTTAACTTCGGTGATCGGACGAGAACCGGTGCTATCAACGTGGTATGGCCGTTGCCTGATGATAAGGGTAAAAAATGAGTAGAAATGGATCCGAGAAGTCGAAACGTCGAAGCAAAAGTGCCAAGATCCGACGAACGAACATCGAAGATCGAGGAGCGCAGCACAGCGCAGCGGTCTGCAACACAAAATACAAAACAAACAAACAAGCACATCACGCACGTACAACTAACAGACGAATGCCACCGACAGGATAGGGAAAGGACGACAAGACCGACAAAGAGACGAACCAGGCACATAAGGCACAATCACGGCGGACGTAGGTAAAAACAAACCATAAACCATCTTCGTCCGCCGGATTAATTACCCTACTACCGCCACCTGGCCACCTGTGTGTGAATGTAATCGTAAATATACGTAAAAAACAAGTCCCGGACAACATATATATAAATATAACCCAAAAAGCAGCATTTGCAATATTTTACAAACAACCGCCGTCATAAATTCGCCGTATCTCGATGGTTCGAATGCTTTGAAAAACACTTGTCTTGATAATATAATAGTGTAAGTGAATTGAATTAAAAAATAATAGTTGAAAGATGTTAAAATAGTTCGAAGTTCGTTCGTCTGTAAACAATAATAGATTAAATAAACTCCATAGAATGTAGTCTTTCAGATCTTCGAAAGAAGAAGGAAAAAAAAAAGAAAATAAAACTATGAAAAGCGGCCACAGGAAAGACAGAAAACGTATCGTACGTGAATCGAAGAAAGAATTTTCGTTCGCCGTCGGTGCGGTGCTGCGGGTTTCCGCGCTCGGTCCCGGCTCGAAAACGACACTCGAAACGAAGAAACTTTTGGAAAAATCCGCAAGGAAATTTTCGTCAGACGTGCAATTTCGATCGTCGATCGATCTCGTACGGAAAAAAATAAAAAAAATCCGAATTTCCTCGTCGTTTCGAGGTACGAGGAAACGACGAGACCGAATCATCTCGTCGCGCCTTCGACATGGAAATTTTTAATGTTCCCATCCTCGTACCGAGACGAGACCGCCACCGGAGGACGGCCGAAAGTCCGTTCCGTCGTTTTCGTTCGACGATCTACGTCGAAGGAGCCCCCCGTGCCCCAGGAGATCGTCGAAATCGGAAGAGTCGCTTCGAAGCGGTGACGATTTTGACCGTACCTTGCCTCTTTCGGAGGCGTTTTTTGACGAGAAAACGTCTTCCGATCGTCCCCGAGGGTGTAAAAAACCGGAAAGCATGGACGGAGGCTCACCTCGTCGAAGCGTCGTCACGGTGGCGGCGACGACGGACGTCGGAGCGTCGACGTCCACCTTCGGTACGTTGTTCGACTTTTGACAAGGTCTTCTTCGAGCGAGCGTCCGGACGGACGCCCTGCCGATTCGCCGATTCCCGCTTCGTCGAAAAATACTCGAATAAACGTCGAGGAAGGTCTGAGGCCGTGTTTCGTCCGTCTAACGACAAGGAGGCGGTGGTGACGGCGAAAAGAGAACGATGTCATCACCCGAAAGTCGAGCGCGAGGCCGCCGATTTCGAGCGAATTCCGTCAAAGTCGCGCGTTTAGTTTACAGTCCGCTTGGTTTACGTCGGGGACACTTAGACGTCGTTTTCGCCACTATTCAAATTCGATCGTGCGACCGATAACCATCGACTTTTTTTAATAACAAAAACAATCAGTTGTTCGGTAAAATGGCAGACGTAGAAAATCAAACAGCTTCCGCCGCGGTGACAGCTTCGGCCGCCGCCTCCTCCGCCGGAACGCCTCACGCCAAGAAGGAAAAGAAAGCGAAGAATCCCAGGAGCAAACCTTCCCATCCGCCGACTTCGGAGATGGTGACCAACGCCATCAAAGGTTTGAAAGAACGCGGCGGATCGTCCCTCCAGGCCATCAAAAAATTCGTCGCCGCCAACTACAAGGTCGACGCCGAAAAAGTTGCTCCGTTCATCAAGAAATACCTGAAAGGCGCCGTCGCTTCCGGTTCCCTCGTCCAGACGAAAGGCAAAGGTGCTTCCGGTTCTTTCAAGTTGGCCTCCACGACCGCCGGCGGTGCCAAAGCCGCCGCCTCCGCCGCCGAAAGGAAGAGGAAATCCGGCGCCGGCAGGACGAAGAAAGCCGCGATTGGCGCGGGAAAACGCGCTTCCGCCGGAGCCGCCGCCGCCGCCGGCGAGAAGGCGGCTTCTAAGGTTTCGAAGAAGACCGCGCCGAAAGCGAAAAAGGCCGCCGCCGAAAAGAAGACCGCTTCCGTGGCCAAAGCGAAGAAGGCCGCCGCCGCCGCTGCCAGCGCCTCCGCCGCAGAGAAGAAGGCCGCCGCCGCCGCTGCCGCCAGAGCGGCGTCGAAGGCGAAATCTCCTTCGAAAGCGAAAAGATCTAACAAGGCCGGACCCACGAAGAAACCGAAAGCTCCGAAACCCAAGTCCACCAAGGCCGTCTCCGCCAAAGCGAAGAAAGCCGCTTCTCCGAAAAGAAAAAAGTGAGCGTTCGAAGAAGATGATGACGACGACGTCGTTGTTGTTGTTTCCCGGCGGTGCTCCGATCGTACATATCGACGAAGGGGCACGCATAAATGGCCCTTTTCAGGGCCACAAATTTTTTTCAAACGAATTAAAATTTTCGCTCAACCCATATTCGAATAATGAATGAATGAAATAAATGATTGATTGATCGATACGATTGATTTGAATGAATGAATGAATGAATTTGCATGCCTTAATTTAAATTTTTTATCTTTTATTTAAGTTTTCGAACGATTCGATTCTCGAAAAAGTTGCTTAATTTTTTATTCGTTAGGAAAAATATTGAGGTTCTGAAAAGAACCGATTTTTTTGTCTCTTTCGAAAAGAGAACTGACAGTTGAGAGATGACGGTGTGATTGATGGTCGGTCGATTTTTTTTTTTTAAGCTCTTTCTCCGCGAATGCGTCTCGCCAGCTGGATGTCTTTGGGCATGATGGTGACGCGTTTGGCGTGGATGGCGCACAAGTTGGTATCTTCGAAGAGACCGACGAGGTAAGCTTCGCTAGCTTCCTGGAGAGCCATCACGGCGGAACTCTGGAAACGCAAGTCGGTCTTGAAGTCCTGGGCGATCTCCCTGACGAGACGTTGGAAGGGCAGTTTGCGGATCAAAAGTTCGGTGCTCTTCTGATAACGACGGATCTCTCGGAGAGCGACGGTTCCGGGCCTGTAACGATGGGGTTTCTTGACGCCGCCGGTCGCCGGTGCGCTTTTTCTCGCGGCCTTAGTGGCGAGCTGTTTTCTGGGGGCTTTTCCTCCCGTAGATTTACGAGCGGTCTGTTTTGTTCTTGCCATTTCGAAAAAATAAGCGAAAGATTAAAATCGATCGACGAACGAACACGCAGCAGACGGACGTTACGAACACGTTGACTGGAAATAACGGCCGACAGGCTCGCGGCGAACCTTATATAACGTTCACCGCTACAAAGTCGCTCTCTGCGCGTGTCTATTGGTCGAGCGGGACCAGAAATGGGCGTAGCTCGGGAACGTTATAAAACGACGCCGAATTTCGTAATTTTCGCAGTTCCCTTTCGAACACCGTTCTGAATCCACGTCTCTCGCAAGCTTCTTCGAAGATATTCCAAGATGACCGGTAGAGGAAAAGGAGGCAAAGGCTTGGGAAAAGGTGGCGCGAAACGTCATCGCAAAGTCCTGCGCGACAACATCCAGGGCATAACGAAACCGGCCATCAGAAGATTGGCCCGTCGCGGCGGTGTGAAACGTATCTCCGGGTTGATCTACGAAGAAACCAGAGGCGTCCTCAAGGTGTTCCTCGAGAACGTGATCCGTGACGCCGTCACCTACACCGAACACGCCAAACGTAAGACCGTCACCGCCATGGACGTCGTCTACGCTTTGAAACGTCAAGGACGCACCCTCTACGGTTTCGGCGGTTAATTTTTTGCAATAGCAAGAAATTTAATCGTCGGTGATTTTGATTCTTTGACTTTTCCGTATATACGCCACGACAACAAACGAGATCGGAGAAAAAAAAAAAACGGTTCTTTTCAGAACCACAAAATTTTTCTAACGAATAAAAAATTTCGCTTACTATATGTCGAGAATAAATAATGAATGAATGAATGAATGAATGAATGGTTGGTTGTGTTGGTTTTTTTTAAAGAAATAATAATGACGATATAAAATGGAAAAACGAAAAAAATTAAATTAAAATCACGTATTTTTAAACGTTTGCAGTAAAATTCACGAGAAGTGACAGAGAGAAAGCTTAAAAATGAACGAACAATAAGAAAAAAATTAACGTTTTCGAATCGAAAAACGATATCGTGTCATATAAAGTACTTTTCTTTCTTTCTATTATTTTTTTTTGTTTGTTTTCCATTAAGATAAGTTTGCGAGCATTTAATCGTTTGAAAAAAATTAGTGGCCCTGAGAAGGGCCGATGATGTGGGTTGTTGTTTTTCTTTTTTTTTCTCGGTAAAGCGGTCGTCCGTCCGGTCCGTTTCTTTAAAAAAAATGAAAAGAGTTTAAGGCTTCTTTTCGGTCTTCTTGGGCAAGAGAACCGCCTGGATGTTGGGCAGAACGCCGCCTTGGGCGATCGTCACTCCGGAAAGGAGCTTGTTCAACTCTTCGTCGTTCCTGATCGCCAACTGCAAATGTCTGGGAATGATCCTGGTCTTCTTGTTGTCTCTGGCGGCGTTTCCTGCCAACTCGAGAACTTCGGCGGCCAGATATTCCATGACGGCGGCGAGGTAGACGGGAGCTCCGGCACCGACGCGTTCGGCGTAGTTTCCTTTACGGAGGAGACGATGGATCCTGCCGACGGGGAACTGAAGACCGGCACGGCTCGAACGGGACTTCGCCTTTCCCTTGACTTTTCCTCCCTTTCCACGTCCTGACATTTTCTTTAATTTTCTTGCGAAAAACGAAATATAAACAAGAAGAGCGAGCGACGAGCGGCGACGACGAGACACGTAATCGACTGCTGCGTTATTCGGTTATGTATCGGACCGGCGGTCGCGGCTTAGGCTTTATACCCTCCGTGCGGTCGGTTCAGTTCGGCGCATAGGAAGGCTAGGACGAATGGGCGTGGCCTGAGTCGGTAGACGGTCCGTTATAAAAGTAGTCGCACGCGGGGTGATATTTTTATTCGTTCGTCGAGAACCGAGCGTAGCGTTGCGTTCTGTTCTGTTAAACTCTTATCGAATATTCGAAGATGCCACCCAAGACTAGCGGTAAAGCCGCCAAGAAGGCCGGAAAGGCCCAAAAGAACATTTCGAAGAGCGACAAGAAGAAGAAGCGCAGGAGGAAGGAGAGCTACGCTATCTACATCTACAAGGTGTTGAAACAAGTACATCCCGACACCGGTATCTCGAGCAAGGCGATGTCCATCATGAACAGTTTCGTGAACGACATCTTCGAACGTATCGCCGCCGAAGCTTCCCGCCTCGCCCACTACAACAAACGTTCGACCATCACCAGCAGGGAGATTCAGACCGCCGTACGTCTCCTCTTGCCCGGTGAATTGGCCAAGCACGCCGTCTCCGAAGGTACCAAAGCCGTCACCAAGTACACCAGCTCCAAGTAGAATGATTTTGTTATCATTTCTGTCGTCGTCCGTCGTCCATCTTTCCGGAAAAAAAAAAAAAAAAACAACAACAACAAACAAATCGGTTCTTTTCAGAACCACAAATCGCATTCCTTACAAATAAGAGATTAACGAACCTCGAGAATGTTTCTTTCCCCTTTATTATTATTCGATTATTAAATGAACGAATAAAATGATACTTTTCGTTTCGGGGTGTGCGATGTTTAAATTCCGTCCGCGTCGTACGTACGTACGATCGATTTCGGTTAGAGGTTTTCGAAATGAAACTATGTTAAAAAACAGCGATATATTTTTATCGATCGATTTTTATACGATATGTAAATAAGTCAGGTCACGGGAACGTACTTGTTTTTTTTTTTTCTTTCTTTTTTTTTCCCCCGCCGCAAGAAGGAATTTATATTATTTATTTCTTCATAACGAAGCGCTGTGCTCTCTACGATCGATTTTATCAGGAAATCATAAGATCGAGAAGAAAACGGTCGCGTTTTTTATTATTATTTTAATACCAGAATTACGAAACTGATGCAAATCTATACTGGCCGTCTGTTCGAGGAACTCGCGTACAATAAATAACGCATGTTCCTAACAAAACGGCTGTTTTTTTGCATTTTCACGATCGAGCGTGAATAAATTTCAAATTAAAAGATCAAGCGTCGATTCGTTTCTTTTCGAGTCTTCCTGAATGATTCTGATCTCGTTGTCCATGTACGGCGTTCGTTTATAAGTTCTCGTCGTGCTTTAATTTTATTTTATCGTCACAGACATAAATACATTTATTTTAAACGTAGTAGAGTGTCGTTCCGCGACACCTCGATCTGATCTGGACTTGTAAATTTTTTTTTGGACTTAAAAAAAAAAAAAAAAAAAAAAAAAAGAATAAGGGGGGTGTTCGCGATAGGGCAAAACAAAAACAAAAAATCTGGCGGGAGCGGAATGTTTGAAAATTTCGAGTCGAAGGACGCGAGTGGAAAATCTTAGCGACTAACTTAAATTCTAAATTAAAAACTAGCTTAACTTATGACACACTTATAATAAACACATCGTTTTTTTTTACTAAAAACTAAAGTTTAACAAAAAGAAGAAGACAACGGCACGCGGTGTTCCCAAGCGGTCACCCATCCAAGTACTGACCGCGCCCGACGTTGCTTAACTTCGGTGATCGGACGAGAACCGGTGCTATCAACGTGGTATGGCCGTTGCCTGATGATAAGGGTAAAAAATGAGTAGAAATGGATCCGAGAAGTCGAAACGTCGAAATGGGTCCCTAGCCGTGGCTTTATCCCACTTACGTGTGCTTAAATATTCTCATTTTCATTTTCGATTATATAATGTAACGATACATTGTTCAGGTTGCTGTTTTTATTTCTACATTTGTGTTTATAGTATAGGGAAAACTGTTACAAAAAACCCTAATTCTTTTACATGGCTTTTGAGCCCTGACCTAACCTAACTATTTACAATATTTACAGCTAACCTACTATGTACATTTGTTGGGAAAACTGCTGAAAGGAAAAATAGATTAGCTGAAGTGATGAAAGGAAAGACGTAGGAAAGGTGTTAGTGAAGATGTTGATAGTGGAGAGAGAGAGAGGGAATTATGACAGGGACGCTCCTGTGTGTGTGAATTTGTGCTTGCCCTGCGGATGGCGCATGGCTTTTTTTAGTAATGGATTATGTTTAGTTTGTGATTTGTAAAAATTGCCAGAGAGCTTTTCGATATAATTTCGAATTGATGGGATGCCAGATAGGGTTTGCAGCTCAGTAATTTTGGTGTATCTATCTTTGTTTAATGCTAAACGAAGGCATTTATTTTGGAATACTTGAAGAGTGGATAGTGTGGTTTTGCTTACTCCGCGCCAGACGGGTGCGGCGTACGTGATGATTGGTCTGATTATGGCTGTATACACGTGTAATTTATTTTTGGTGCTGAGGTAATTGTTTTTAATCAAAAGCGGGTATAGGTTTTTTAACGCTATCTCCCCCTTTCGTCGCAGTTGCTTAAGGTTCTCTATGAAATTTAGTCTGCTGTCCATGTGAAGACCTAGATATTTAAGTTGTGTGCAGGGTTCGATTTTCGAATCTCCTACTTTCAGTTTTGTAAAAATTTTGTTGTTGCTGTATTTTCGGGAGAAAATGATATGCTCAGTTTTGGTACTATTAAGTTTGATTTTCCATTTTTTGTAATATGGTTGTAGGAGATTTAGGTGGATTTGTATTTGCTTTGTCGCCACTTGGGCGGAGTGAGAATTGGCATACAGCGCTGTATCGTCAGCGTACAGCGCCGTATTTGTTTGTTTAAATTGTGGGAAGTCATGTAGGTAGAGATTGAACAGGGCCGGTCCCAGGACTGATCCCTGGGGGACTCCGGCTCCAATCCTTCTTTCGTTCGACAAGGTGTGGTTTATCCTCACCTTCAGTTTTCTTTCCGTTAAGTACGAGTGCAATAGTTTGACTAGATTTTTCGGAAATTCTAGCTTTATTAATTTGTATAGCAGGCCTTTGATCCACACCTTATCGAATGCCTTTTCTATGTCTAGGCATGCCATGGCTGTGTTGTTTCGTTTGTTAAAAGTATGTATTATGTCATTTGTGATTCGAACAAGTTGTTGTACTGTGTTATGGTTGCTTTTGAATCCAAATTGCTCCGGTTGCTGAATTTTGTTTTGGTGTATGACTTTGTTGATTCGAGATAGGATAATTTTTTCTGTTAATTTTGATATAGTTGCTAATAAACTGATGGGCCGATATGAGCTTGGAAGTTGCTTATTTTTATTTGGTTTTAGTATTGGTATCACTATAGCTGTTTTGAATTGTTGGGGGAAATGTGTTAGTTTTATTATTGCATTTATTATGTTTGTAAGTTGCTGCATGGCATGCCTCGACAGGTTCTTAAGTATTTTGTTATCGATACCGTCCTCACCCGGGGCCTTGTTGTTTGGTAGTTTTGCGATAAAGTTTGTGATTTCATATACGTCAGTTTCGAGTTTATCGACCTCCGGGTGATGCATCTGGATCACCTGGTTTACTACGTGCTCGATATGTTGTTGCTCGGCGGTATTTCCGGTTGCGTCATCAGTGTGTACGCTAGCATAGTAGTCGGCGAGCGCTTCGGCCTTCGCAAGGTCAGTTAGCTCCGAACGATTGTTGTGTTGGAGCGTCTCGATTGGGTCGTATTTCTTTTTTAATGCCTTTGTCAGCTTCCACAATGAGTTATCGGCTGGATTTAGTTTGGCGAGCTTTGTCGACCATTTATCATTACGATATTGCTTGATTGCTTCTTTTATCTCATTATTCATTTTTTTGACGATTTCTAAATATTGCGGGTCTCTTGTTTGTTGATAGACTTTTCTGGTTTTATTTCGGTTTGTAATTTGGGTTTTTATCGAGTCCGGAAGTTGATCTTTGTATGGATTTATATTTTTTGTCGTTGCTACTAAACTTTTTGCTACTTGTAAAGTACGTATGAATTTACCTACCTCTTTTTCTAATATGTCTGAATTGTATATTTTATTATTTAGTTTTAAATTTTGATCTAGGTGCTGCCGAAATTTTTTCCAATTGGCATTTTTGTATGATTCAATTTTGATTGTGCGTTGTTCGAAAAATTGGTTTGGGATTGCTATTATGACAGGTCTGTGATCCGAGTTCATTGCGTTGACCACCCGTGGCGCTGTTATGTTTATATTTTTGGTAATTGTGTGGTCTATCGGCGTTGGGGTGCCGCCATTTGCAGGATAATGGGTGGGTTCGGTTGTTGGGTGGAGAATTAACGTACTGTTGTTAAGGTAGTCTAATAATTTGTACCCGTTGTGATTATTAATATGGCAACCCCAACTCGTGTGTCGCGAGTTGAGGTCACCAACTATTATTAATTTGTGTGAAAGTCCGGATAATGTGTCTAAGTCTGTGTTTTTTAGCTTGTTAGTTGGTTTGTTATACGCCACCGCTACCGTTGTATTGTCTATGAGTTGGATTGCAGTCGTTTCTATTGCGCTATTCAGTGTGATTTTAATGTCTTTGTGCGGAATGTCACTTCTAACTAGAAGAGCCACTCCGCCCCATGCTGTATTGTTTGATCTGTCTTGCCGGTAAACGGTGTAGTTTTTAATTCTAAATTTGTGACTACTTTTGAGATGGGTTTCGGTAATGGCCATTATGCCCACGTCATGTGTGGACATAAATGCCATTAGCTCTGCTGCTTTAGTTAGGATGCCATTTGCGTTATACTGTGCTATGATTAGAGTTTTAGAAGCCATAATCAGCCAGGTTGTTAGTTAAGAACTCTAAGGTTACTAAGAATTTGTCTCGTCCGGTCGTGCAGGAGCTCAGTTTATTTGTGAGATCCCGCACGGCCCGGATCATATTTGTAATATTGATTGTTTCTGAGAGCTTTTTTAGCTCCGCATTCAATTGCATAAAGCTATTTGTTTCGTTATCATTTGAGTTATTTATTAGCGGATTTTTTGATTGCTCTGGCTGCACGTTTGATTCACTACTGGGAGCGTCCCTACCTTGTCGTAGCTCTGGATTTTCCACTCTTCGCGTTGGTACAGCTGGCGGTTTTTGTTGCCAGACGTTGCGAGTTGGCGGCGGTGCTGGAACCCAAGCCGGTTTTCGCGCTGCAGCTACGATTGTTTCTTGTCTCTGTTTTCTTTGTTCGGCTATGTATTTTATCCTGCTCTGGTAGACCGGACATTCTCGTTCGCAGGCAGCGTGCTCTCCCTCGCAGTTGACACACCTGGCCGGATGCTTGTCTTTCAGGTCCTTATATGGGCAGTCTCTGGTCCAATGGCTGTTTCCCACGCATCTGACGCAGCGAGGGGGCAGGGAGCAATTTTTCGTAATGTGACCCCAGCTTTGGCATCTCTTGCACTGGCTTACTTGATTTTTATTGACATACGGTGACCAATTCACTCTAATTCGGAGGATTGTTCTTGCTTTGTTTTGCAGATCTTTTAGCGTGCTGGTGTTCGCTGTGGTGACTATGTAGTACGGCCTCTTGGTATTTTTCATTTTTGTGACGTTATTAATTGCGATTCCGCAATTTTTTATCGCTTCTAGTACAGCTTCTGGCGGGGGGTCGT